CTTCTTTAAATGTCTGGTAGAACTCAGCTGAGAATCCATCTGGTCCTTGGCTTTTTTTTGTTGGAAGGTTTTTAATTGCTGTTTTAATTTCATTGTTTGATTATAAGTCTATTTAGGTTTTCTCTATCTTCCTGGTTCAATTTAGCCAGGTCATATGTGTCTAGAAATTTGTCTATGTCTTCTAGATTTTCTAGTTTATTGGAGTATAATTTTTAAAAATAGTTTCTAATGATCCTCGGGATTTCAGAAGTGTCTGTGGTGATATTTTCTTTTCTAATCTTTATTTGGGTCTTTTTTCTCTTTTGGTTAGTTTGGCTAAGGGCTTTTCAGTCATACTTATCTTTACCAAAAAAAAAAAAACAACAACAATTCTTTGTGGTATTGATTGATTCTGTGTATTATTGTTTGGTACTCAAATGAGACAAAGATGCATGAAGGAAATAAAATTACACAACAATATCCCTGAAGGACATAGATGCAAAAATCCTTAATATTAGCACACCAAATTTAAAAACACACCAAGAAGATAATACACCATAATTAAGTGGGCTTCATCCCAGGAATGCAAGATTGGTTCAACATACATAAATCAATGAATGTAATTTACTACTTATGTAGAATTAAAAACACATACTTACAGCCATCTGATACTTGACAAAAGTACCAAAAAATACATATGAGAATCATATGATCATCTGCATCAATTGATGCAGAAAAGGCCTTTGATAAAATACAGAACCCATTCATGTTAAAAAAAAAAAAAACCACTGGAGAAACTGGCATTGAAGGAACTTATCTCAACATTTTAAAGGTTGTACATGACAAACCCAAAGCCAGTATCATACTAAACTAAGAAAAAACTTAAAGCTTTCCCTTTAAAGTCAGGATCAAGGGGCTGGGGATGTGGCTCAAGCGGTAGCGCGCTCGCCTGGCATGCGTGTGGCCCGGGTTCGATCCTCAGCACCACATACAAACAAAGATGTTGTGTCCACCGATAACTAAAAAATAAATATTAAAAAATTCTCTCTCTCTCTCTCTTTAAAAAAAATAAAAAATAAAGTCAGGATCAAGACAAGGATGTCTACTTTCATCACTTCTATTCAATATAATTCTTGAAACTCTAGCCAGAGCAATCAGTAAATAGAAGGAAATTAAAGGGATATAGATAAAATAGAAAAAGAAGAAATCCCAACTGTCTCTGTTTGCTTATGTCATGGATATCTAGAAAACCCCAAGAATTCCACCAGAAGACTTCTAGAACTGATAAATGAATTCAGCGAGTAGCAGGATACATGATCAACATTCAAATCAATAGCATTCTTATATTATGACAGCAACTTAGCTGAGAAAGAAATCAGGAAAACCATCCCTTTTGCAATAACCTATAAAAAATAAAATATTGGGAATTAATCTAACCAAGGAGGTGAAATATTTCTACAATGAATACTATAGAACACTGAAGAAAGAAATTAAAGAAGACCTCAGAAGATGGGAAGATCTCCCATGTTCTTGGATAGGCAGAATTAATATTGTCACAGTGGCCATACTATCAAAAGCAATGTACATATTCAGTGCAATCCCCATCAAAATACTGATAACATTCCTTGCAAAACTAGAAAAAATAGTCCTTAAATTTATTTGGAAGAATAAGAGACCCAGAATAACCAAAGTAATTCTGAGCAAGAAGAGTGATGCAGGTGGTATCATGATACCTGATCTTAAACTATACTACAGAGCTGTAAAAGCAAACCAGCATGGCATTGGCATCAAAATATAAATTAAGACCACTGCAATAGAAGACAGAGAGAAATGCACATACTTACAGTCATCTGATACTTGACAAAAGTACCAAAAATACACGTTGGAGAAAAGACTGGCATTTTAACAGATGGTACTCAAAAAATTGGATATATCTGCATATATAAATATATGTGGAAGAATGAAATTATATCCCTATCTCTTACCCTGCATGAAAGTCAAATCAAAATGGATCAAAGACTTGTACATTAGACCAGAAACTTTGCAACTGCTAGAAGAAAACATAGGGTCAACATTCCATCATATATGTGCAGCCACCAATATCCTCAACAAGACTCTTGAAACAAAACCAAGAATATGTGGCATGCCATCAAATTAAAAACATTTCTGCAGAGCAAAGGATTGAGCTTGAAGAGAGAGCCTACAGAATGGGGAGAAAAAGACTTTGCCACTTGTTCTTCTGACAGGGAATTAATATTCAGAACATATTAAGATCTCAGGAAACTTAACACCAAAAACCCAAATGACCCAATCAGTAAATGAACAAAAGAAGAAACAAAACAGCCAACAAGTATATGGAAAAATGTTCAACATTTTTAGCAATCAAATGCTAATCAAAACTACACAAAGATTTCATCTCACATCAGTCAGAATGGCAATTATCAAGAATACAAATAACAAACGCTGGTGAGGACGTGGGGAAAAGATACACCTATACGTTGTTGGTGGAACTGTAAATTAGTACAACTATGGAAAGCAGTGTGAATATTCCTCAAAAAACTTGGAATGGAACCACCATATGACCTAGCTATCCCATTTCTTGGTATTTATCTAAAAGAACTAAAATCAACATACTGTAGTGATATAGCCACTTCCATGTTTATAGCAGCACAATTCACAAGAGCCAATTTATAGAATCAGTCCAGATGTCTATGAATAGATGAATGGATGGAGAAAATGTGTTACATATGTACAGTGAAGTTTTACTAGCCATAAGAAGAATGAAATAATAGCATTTGCCAGTAAATAGATAGAAATGGAGAACATCACACTTTGCAAAATTAGCAAGACTCAGAAAATCAAGGGTCAAATGTTTCTCTTGTGGAAGCTAGAGAAAAATAAGGGAAAGAAGGAGCTGGAGGTGAGGCTTGGATATCAATTATGTAGGAAAGATCAAGAAGGTAGAAAATGAGAGGGAAGAAGAATGAGAAAGGGGAGGAAATATGGAATGAATTTAATAAAATTATGTTATATGCATATATAAATGTACCAGAGGGAATTTTACTTTTCTACATATATATGTAGAAAGTACCAATCAAAAATAAAGGAGCAAAAAAGAAAAGAAAAAAGAAACCAGCTTGCCTTCTACTAGCAGTGTTGACTAACTTTGCTCTTTGCTACAGTGGTTCAGCCTTGTGCTCAGCCATCCAACTTTCAAGTCACATATAATTAAGCTAGGCCACCAGTCTTTGACACTGATTAGTCAATCCTTCCTGAAAAAGGGTGGTAATTTTGGTATCTTGCCTAAAGACTTTTTGGTAAAAATAATCTCTTTCCATCTCAGAACTGATAGATTAACAAAGTATATGGCTGGCTAAGGCACTGTGGATAGGAAAGGAAGGTAAAACTATATCAGAAACATAGATCAGGATGAATGGATAAGAAGCCCTTTTATATAATCAACTTGCCACCAAGTGGATGGTTGATCTCATTGAGGGATAGTGCCCCTTACAGGGCTCATGTTGGTATCTCTTGCTAGCATTTCCAACATTGATCAGCAGCAGTATTAGCTTACCCTTAGTGAGAAGGAACCCATGCTGTTGGGCCAAACAGTGCAAAGGCCCCATCTCAGTCACTATGGTTACTCTGTTCATCAGCTCACTGTTGGCTGACCAAGGACAGAGTTAGAAAATATCTCTTGGCCAAATATTTGGCCCATTTAGTTTAATACCTCATCTGTGGTGATGCTTTCTGGTAAGGATTATTGTGTAATATATAATACACAAGAAATTTCACCTTTATATCCACTTTGGTAGGACCTGCCACATTCCTCTTCCCCAGAGCTCTTTGCCCTCAGTTATCAGCTCTGTACAGATTTCTGCCCCTAGTAACATGATAGTCAGGCAGAAGATTGTAAAACTCTCTTAATATTTTCCCATATTTCTACATGTGGTACCCAGGAAACTGTTCACATCTGTCCTTTCTGAAAAATCAAAATAGATAGGATAGGAATCTATTAGGGAAAGTAGAATTTAGAGAAGAAATTTCTTGATTTTGTGAGGTAAACGTTGATGAGAGAGAGGTAGGAGGGATGATGGGAAAACAAGATTATTAAGCCAAAGGAGAGAAGAAGAGTGGTAGAAAAGGCAATAAGGTTGAAAACCAGAGCAATTGGGAGATTATTACAGAGTAGAACAGTTCTGGAAACTAAGACCTCAGTCCAGACACTCTACTTCTGAGCTGAAGCTTTTACAAAAAGGTTTTTAACATTTATTTCACACTAGGAAATTAGGGTAACTCTGGTTGGCAGATATAAATTATGCATTTTAGTTGTGCAGTTCTCCAACAATTTATAATTATGTGTGTATGTATTATATATATATATATAGTTATTGATGTGAATCAAAATAATGTATCCCATTTTGTCCTTTTATGAAAGAGGAACCTTAAACTTTTCTTTCTATATAAAGAACGTTTCTCTCTTGTTCTCTAGTTTTCACCAGCATGTAAAAATGGACTTAAATTATATAGGATATAGTATTTAAGTGTCTTTACATGTACCTCTTTTGTTACAATGGTAGTAATAGTATGACTACCTCCTATTGTTAATACAAATAATTTTTCAGCATGTCTGGCCTTTGGAGTCATTTTATCTGAATTCTAATTTTAGCTGTATCATTGATGAGCTTTATGTCTCTGAGCCAGTTATACAAACTCTAAAAGACACAGTTTTCTAAACAGTAAAGTGGAAACAAACATTAGGCATCTCAAGTATTGTAATAAGGATTAAGTGAAATAATCTAGGGAAGGAACTTAGTATAATACATGTGATATATAATACATATATAATACAAGTGTTAGAGCTCAACAAATATTTTGATTATTTTATTGCTATTACTGGAATTATAAGATCACAGAATATTAGGTATAGAAGGCATTCATTGGTGAAGAATTTGGTTGTCATTTCTATTGTTGGATCTTAGGATATGAGTACATATAAAATTTACTATTTATACTTTCAGGAATCCTTAAATATATTACTTAAACAACTAGAAAAAGAAAAAAGAAGTCTTGAAAATCAAGTGAAAGACTATGCACTTAAACTGGAACAAGAATCAAAGGTTTGTTTTTATTCTACTAAACAATTCATTTGAAGCTGCCTTTATTTCTAGGGTTATCTACAAACCTACTATATCATTTTCATAAAATGGTACAAAACCATTTCCTACAGTTTTAACAAAAAAGCAGGAGATACGAACCCTAACTTGGCAATTTTCTTGCTAATCTTCTCTTATGTTGGATTCTTTACATTTGTATATTCTACATAGGCTTACCACAAGATCAACAATGAACGCTGTAAATACATATCTGAAATGTCTCAGGTAATTTTTTTCTTTTACTTTCAAATTCTAAGGCTTTCCCTTCTCCTAAGTTATGTATTTTATTTTTCTATAATTTGTGTGTGTGTTTGGTTAGATAAACAGTTGTTGAAATTATGGGGAAATGTTACCGAGTTTCTAAATACGGAAGATGGAAAGGGAAATACATAATTTATAAAGAGAGAAAACAGTCTCCCTAATTAAGAGATTATCTTGCATATCTGCTTCCTTAGTTATCCTTTTAGTTTGATCCATGATCACTAGAATTCAAACAGATAAGCTACTATCCTTTAGCTATCACTTCATAATTGTAGACACAGTATTGCTATTCATAGAAATATAAGACAGGAAAATTATCAATACATTATCTTGCACATATTTTCAGCTTTTCATTTGTCTTTCAGTTTTATTTATGATATTGTTGGAATTTTAGAGCATTTTTATATTGCCAGAGCTCTTTTATTTATGGTTTCTTATGTCATAGTTTAAAAGATAATCTTCAACTCAATGTTTCATAATGTTTACAGCATCATTTAATACTTACATGGCTTATTATTTAATATTTAAATATTTAAGCTATATTACCTTTATTTTGGCATATATTTTAAGATTAGGATATGAGTTCAGTTTTAAAAGTATGTTATCCAAACAGAAGAGTCCAAAGAGTAATTGGATATGGGAATCTCAGGAAAATGTTAAACTTTAGAGATAGATTTGGAAATTACTATCATATAGATAGTAAGAGAAGTCATGCGAATGAATGAAATACATCAGGGAGGATAAGTAAGGTTAAAAGAAAAGATAGGCTATAATTCTGAAGACAGTGATAGTTATGGGAGTAACAAAAATGGTTGGGATCCTCAAAGCACAGCAGTTAGACAATGAGGTAGAGTACCTTGAGGGTGAGCTTGATCCAAAAGGTAACCTGCTCATCAAATCTAGAGTATCTAGAGGGATCAAGAAAGGATTCAGAGGAGGAGATTTAGGTTTGGGAATTGGAGCCAAAAATGGGATGAATAGTAAAATATGAGAATAAAAGTCAGCAAAATGGTGGGTAAAAGGAAACTTGGACTTATAGTGTTCACCAAGCTTAAGCAGGAAATGGAGCTAAGGTAGAATCAGTGCTTGTAGTCTCTCATCCATAAAATGGACAATCAACTTAAACTTCATGGATCTTGACAATGGGTTGGAAGCACTGCTTCCTCCAAAGGTACGGGTACCCATGTGCCTTTCATCTGACTCTATACCCTGCATGGAATATTCTTTTTCTCTTACATGCTAATTCCATCTCCTTCAAGGTATAGCACAAACACCACCTCCTTCATGAGGCCTCCACATGATGAAAAGACCACAGATAGTGGAGCCATTGCAAATTTGGGTTTGAATCCCAGCTCTGCACTTAACTGCTGTATGACCACTTCTTTCCTCACCTGTAGAAAGGGAGAATCTTTATGATGTCAGTATCAGTCTCAGGGTTCTTGAGTGCTTAGAGACTTGGTATATATGAAGTGCTAAGTATAGTACCTGGCACATTATAGGTTCTAGATTTCAATTAATGGTGAATATTATTTTCCTGTTTTTTTCTTTCTTGAACACACTAGTCCATATGTATATTCTACATATTGTGTAGTGACAGCACCATCAGAATTTCAAATTGCTTTCTAGATCTTTGACCGATCTTCACTTAGCTATAGGTTCCTGAGGTCAGTCAGAGTGCCTCATTATTGCTGTTACTTTACACTGAGCAAAAAGAGTGGCAAATAGTCAATGTTCAAAATTATTTGCCAAACTGAACATAGTACAAAATTTATGAATAAAAATTATGGAGATAATGAAAAGTTCAAATCCTTACACAAAAGGTGGTATGTAAAACACTGAAGGTTTTTTTTTAAAAGGTTAAAATTAAAGTCTTTTGCCCATGAAGCATTCATTTGCCTTTGTTTATCTTAAAAAAAAATCATTTAGGTGGAATAAGCCTACTCTGACTGTACAAGATCACTGAATGTACAATCAAAGCCTATTTTAACAGCTTCCAGGGAAGGTGTTAATCCTGTCTCCAGTATAATGTTAATAAGGATTTTCACTCAACTGAATTGTTAATCTTTATAGTCAAAGATGGTTCTGACCATGAGGATACTGCAGTGACTGGAAAGGTTAATGGATGATTTGCAGTTCTTTCCATGCTGAATACATAAATAATTGATTCTTTGGTAGATAACTAGAGCTATTTGCTGAATCTGCTTTTTATACTTCTGCAACTATATCTGAGGCTTTGTCTCACTCTCAAACCACTGTTTTGACTGAAACTGAATTGCCCCATCTCAGAATTATTCTAATTTGCACAATGTATGCACAGTATAGGTATTACTTTTTTTTTAGAGAGAGAGAGATTTTTTTTTTAAGAGAGAGAGAGAATTTTTTAATATTTAGTTTTCGGTGGACACAACATTTTTGTTTGTATATGGTGCTGAGGATCGAACCCGGGCCGCACGCATGCCAGGCGAGCGCGCTACCGCTTGAGCCACATCCCTGGCCCCCGAGAGAGATTTTTTAATATTTATTTTTCAGTTTTCAGTGGACACAACATCTTTATTTTATTTTTATGTGGTGCTGAGGATCGAACCCAGCGCCCCGCGCATGCTAGGCGAGCGCGTTACCGCTTGAGCCACATCCCTAGCCCATAGGTATTACTTTTTAAGAATACACAGGTACATTGCATCTCTGAAAAATCAAGTGGTAAAACTGACTACAGCTTGTTGCAATACCTGATAAATTTAAATTTAAGTTTCCCATAAACACTGAATTTTGCAGTGGGTCTGAGTGATTATTGAATATATTGATTTTGGTTTACTCACAGGGAATCTGAGGTGGTTCTAAATTCATCATCAGGCAGTTCTAACTCATAGACTTGTTCTTAAAACACATGAGATAGTACTTCTTATTCTCCTTCCCTGAAACTTCCTTAAAATTCACTGATTTTTCATCCTCTGAACAATACAGAACAAGTCCACACTCCAAAGTGATGGCTTTTCAAAGATTTAGAAACAATTCTTCATTTTCCTATAGATTTTGTTTGTTTCTTTGTTTGATTTGTTTTGCTTTTGAACTAAATATTGTTATCTTAGTTATCTCTCATGACATAGGTTCCAGACTGTCCCTGCATTTCCGTTGCCTTTTGGGAAAACTCTATTTTGTTATTGTTCATTTTAAAATCAAGCAAAGTCTTGTCTCTGTCACACCCATTTTTCTTCTCTGTTGCCTAAGTGATCAATCTAAAATACAGTTATCATGGCATAATTTCCTTTTATAATACTTTCTGTTTGCTTTGCCCCAAAGATCATAGCAGAGCTCCTTGGTGTTGTCAACAAAGTCCTCTCCCAACATGGCAGTGCCTGTCTTAGCCTTTTCCCTGCTAATATCTGTGCTGCATCTAGACCAAATGCTATTTGCAATTCCTGCATCTATCATGCTGCTTTTTAGCTGAGGTTCTTGCTGTTCCTTCTAGGTAGAATATCCTTTCTCTAGTTCTTAACTGGTTACTATTCTACATGTGTCCCCTATAGCCTGAGTTAATTGCATCTCACAAGCTGTAAGCTCACAAAGCACCCATGCAAACCTTTAATCAAGGACCTTAATTGTAATCTTCTATTTGTTTTGCTATTTCCTCAATAGAAATGTGACTTATTTGTCTTTGTTCCTGGTCCATAATGTGGTGGTGACACATGGTAGATGCTCAATACATTTGCTACATGAATAAAGGAATGAATGAATTCTAGTACAACACACTCAAACCTGTCACTCTTAGCATATGATCTAATATCTTAGATCAAAAAAGAGAGATGGCAAGGGGGCAAGGCAGAGGGAGTTGGGGGTCTATCAGATATAAAATCTAGTTTTTTTTTTACCTTCAGATTTATACACACCTTTATCTACCACTCATGTTTTCCCCTCTTGTCTTAAAGAAAAGGATTCCAGTCTTCTTCCCAAGTCTGTCTGCTGCCTCTAGGACTCAATTTCCTCTTATTTTGTCTTTTACTATGGCTTATCCTTTGCTTGCAATATGCTCAACTCTTCCACCAAAATAACAACCAAAAAATTTTTATTTTATTCCAACTTTCCTCATAAAACTACCACCATAGATTTCTTTTTCTCAGCCAAATTTCATGAAAGAGTGGGTATACTCACTGCCTTTGCTTTGAGTATACCCCTCAATCTCTTTTCATCTCTCTTCTGATCCCAACACTATGGCCCCCGTTTATCATTTCATAGCTACATACAAAGACTCTTCTTCAAACCTGAGGTATTAGCAGTCTCTGCACACGTCTTTGAATACATGCCCTAGCCCCAATACACACAGTTGACTTGCATGACATTTTTTTTCTTGGGTTTTCCTGATGTTTAAATGATGGCCATATCTTCAATGAGTCTCCCATCCCCTAAAAGTTGCTTTCAGCTTTATATTATTGTGTCTTTTACTTCTCTGTATTACTCTTACTGTATAATCTCATTTTTTTAGTGACTTCAATTGCCATCTCTAAGTTTATCAATTTCAGTTGTTCCTGAATGGAAGATTATATTTATAACCATTCACAGAAAGTCACCACTTTTGTATAATGGATGAATTTCAAAATAGACAGAAATGAATATATTAACTTGTCTTTCTGTCTCTGCTGTACTATATCTATGTTTCTATTGTCTTATCTATCATAAAGACAGAGTATATGTTTATATACTTTTACTTTTATGATTACTTGTAATGATTTATCTATGTGGATATTTCTCTATGTGGTCTCTGGGGATGAGATAGGGGTATTTCCAGAATCTTTAGACGCTTGTTTATACTGGAAGTCAGAATTTCCCATTATTATTCAGCTTCTCTTACACATGCTACTAAAGGACCTGGTGGTAAAGGAGTTAGATAATTGACTATTTTTTCTTCCCTCTGAAATTCAGCATGAAAGAAGAGGATAAACACTCAGTTTTATTGTATTTCAGGTCTCTGGCACACATCAAGTTTCTAAAAGGCAACAGATGGATCAACTGCCTAGAATGAAAGAGAATCTAGTGAAAACGTAAGTCTAATTATATATTTTCTTTCTAATTAATTATATTTGCTTGTGAATGGTAATGACAAAACGGGTGTCCATTACATTTTGGAAGTGGAACTTCTAGATTTTATAGCAACAGTATAAAATAGCAGATGGTAAGAGAACTTAAAAAGTTTGTGATCTCTGTTCACTATTTTTACACTTTTTTTTTAAATTCCCAGAAACATTTTTAGCTTTTAAACATGGGAAGAACTTATTTTTTAAACTAAAACAATGCAGTATCCAATGAAAGCTTAAAACTACACCATTAGTAACAGTATAAACAGAATTGAAGTATCAGCCCTTACCTTTTTAGTGAGGAAGTATGGTCATTTGCAGCGGTCACTGAAATATAGATGCAGTTCTTAAAAATTATTTATTTATTTATTTATTAAATTTTTAATTGATTTTTTAAAAATAAATGACAGCGAATGCATTACAATTCTTATTACACATACAGCACAATTTTCCATATCTCTGGTTGTATATAAAGAATGTTCACACCAATTCGTGTCTTCATACATGTACTTTGGATAATGATGTCCATCACATTCCACCATCCTTGCTAACCCCTTGCCCCCTCCCTTCTCCTCCTACCCCTCTGCCCTATCTAGTGTTCATCTATTCCTCCCATGCTCCCCCTCCCTACCCTACTATGAATCAGCCTCCTTATATCAGAGAAAACATTCGGCATTTGTTTTTTGGGGGGATTGGCTAACTTCACTGAGGATTATCTTCTCCAATGTCATCCATTTACCTGCAAATGCCATGACTTTATTTTCTTTTATTGCTGAGTAATATTCTATTGTGTATATATGCCACATTTTTTATCCATTCATCTACTGAAGGGCATCTAGGTTGGTTCCACAGTTTAGCTATTGTGAATTGTGCTGCTATAAACATTAATGTGCCTGTGTCCCTGTAGTATGCTGATTTTAAGTCCTTTGGGTATAGACCCAGGAGTGGGATAGCTGGGTCAAATGGTGGTTCCAATCTAGTGTTTGCCTCATAGAAAAAAAATTAGGGAATATTCTCTTCTTTTTGATTTTTATAAAGAATTAGCAAAGGATTGATTTTGTATATTTGTAAAATCAGTGAAGCCATCTGGTCCTGGTCTCAGTGGTTGCCCTGGTGATTATAATTAATATCTTAGTTAGCAATCTACTTGAGATTAAAAACAGCTTGATTCCAAAATTGTCCTACGCTCAATTCCCTCCTCCTTTGTGCTGTTGTTGTACAAATCACTTCCTTTTGCATCTTGTTTCCTTCTTCCATCCACAGATTTCTAAGTATTGTTTTTCAGTTTTTTAAATTTTATTTGTTCTGTTTAGATATACATGACAGTAGAGTGTATTTTGACATATTAGACATACATGGAGTATAACTTAGGATCCCATTCTTGTTGTACATGATGTAGAGTTTCACTAGTCATGTATTCATATGTAAACACAGGAAAGTTATGTCTGATTCATTTTGTCTTTCCTATTCCTATCCTCTCTCCCTTCCCTTCCTTTCTTTTTGTCTAATCCAATGAACTTCTATCTGCCTCCCCTTATTGTTTTGTTAGCATCCATATATCAGAGAGAACATTCAGCCTTTGTTTTTGGAGATTGGCTTATTTTGCTTAGCATGATAGTCTCCAGATCCATCCATTTATCAGCAAATGCTATAATTTATTCTTCTTTATGGATGAGTAATATTTCACTGTACATATATATCACATTTTCTTTATCTATTCATCTGTTGAAGGACAGGCATCTAGGTTGGTTCTATAACTTAGCTATTGTTACTTAAGCTATTGTAAATATTGATGTGGCTGTGTCACTGTAGTATGCTGATTTTAAGTCCTTTGGGTATATTTTGAGGAGTGAGTAAACTGGGTCAAATGGTGGTTTCATTCAAAGTTTTCTGAGGAATCTTCATACTGCTTTCCAAAGTGGTTGCACCAATATGCAGTCCCACCAGCAATGTATGAGTAAACCTTTTCCCCCATATTGTCATCAACATTTATTGTTACCCTTATTCTTGATAGTTGCCATTCTGACTGGAGTGAGATAGAATCTCAGTGTAGTTTTAACTTGCATTTCCCTAATTGCTATAGATGTTGAACATTTTTTCACATGTTTGTTGATCATTCATACATCTTATTCTGTGAAGTGTCTGTTCAGTTCCTTTGGGTCATTTGTTTTTTGGTGTTAAGTTTTTGAGTTCTTTGTATATCCTGAATATTAATGCTTTGTGGTATCATCGTACCAGGTGGTAAAGATTTTCTTCCCGTTCACACAGTCATTTTTAGGAGTGAGTTATTTTTAATCAGTTAGAAGACTTAAAGTAACTATAAACAAAAATACATTTTTACTATCTTTTATTATGTTTCCCTATGTAACTACTTTTAGTGGGTCTCTTTATTCTTCATGTGAATTTGCATTACTTTCTAGCGTTCAACTTGGAAGACTCCCTTTACCATTTCTTGTAGGGCAGGTTTGCTAAGGAAGAACTCCTCTAGTTTTTGGTTTTCTGGGATTATTTTAATTTCTTTTTTATTTTAGATTGATATTTTTTGTTGCATTTGAAGTCTTAGCAGTCTTTTTTCCTCAGCCCTTTGGATATTTCATCCCACTGCCTTCAAGTAGACCATGGTTTTTTGATGAGGACTCACTGCTGATTTTATTGAGGATTTTTTGTACATACAGAATTACTTCTCTAAGCTGCTTTCAAGATTTTTCTCTTTGTCTTTTAATAGCCTGACTTTGATATGTCTGAATGTAGATCTTTTTGAATTTATTCTTCTTGAAATTTATTGAATTTCTTAGATCAATGTTTTTCATCACACTTGGGAAATTTTCAGTTATTATTTTTCAAGTATTCTTTCTGCCATGTTTTCTCTCCCCTCTCCTTCAGGTATACCCATTATACATTTGTTAGTACATATGATTGTATTCCATAGATTTATGAAGCCCTCTTCATTTTTCTTATTCTTTATTGTCCTGCTCAAAATGAACAACCCTAATTGATCTATCTTCAATTTCATTGGCTCTTCTACCTCTAGTCTGCTGTTGAACTCTTCTGCATGTGTATGTTTTGGTATATCTTTAATACTCATCCAGGAAAATTAGAACTCTACCTTAGCCTTCATTTTCTGCTTGTGCACAGAGACTCAAGGTCAACCAGAGGCAACACCTAAGGGCCTTCTCATATCTTTCCTGAGAAGGCACACAATCCTATGCATGTACGTAAGACACTTGAGTATGGACTTCTAGATTCCAAGAACTATTTATTAATGCTTACTCCCCTGCTTTTCTTTTTAAGTTTCCTTGTTATTTTTTTTTTGCCCCTCTTATTTATTGCTATTTACTGACTCAAGCAATATAAAGTTAAATAATGGTTTCTAATAGTTCCAACAAATGCCCAACTGACAAAGCTTTTTACATTGGATCATCTCCAAGTCGGGTCAAATAAAAATAGCCTTATAATTGGGTAATCATTAGACTTTAAATAATGAAAATTCTCTGGGAACAAATAATTAGGCTTTAAAGGATTTACAACTTCATTCTGTTTGCCTCCTATGGTGTCTTTCAGACTGTTGGTTTTCACTATAGTTGAGGGATATTTATTTTCAAGGCTACTACAGAGTTATTCAGGGAGGTAAGAGGTGAGGGGCAGAAGATAGGAATGGGGTAAGTTAAAGAAAAGCTACATATCTCAGAGTTCTTACTGAATTTCCACTGTTTTTGTTGTTGCTTGTTGTTTAATACCCCAGACTTCTAAGAAAATTGCTTCTCAACATTTTTGAGTTTGTTATTGCTTTTATGGAGGAGAGAATTTTCTCCTTTGTGAGGAGGAAACCAACAGGTTCTGTCATTTTTGCTGACATCGGTCTCTAATTTGTATGTTAAAAGCATATTGCAGGAGATAAAAGTGCCCTCTTACTGTCTCAAATAAGAATATAAGCAAGATTAGTTTTATATACAAAGGGATAAGAGGATCCTATGAAAATTTAAGGACACAAATTCATAGATACTTACTGCTTTACTATCCCTGTTCTATTTTATAGCATCTGTATTTCTATTTCCTTAGCTTCAATTCAATTATCAGGGTAAATATAAAAAAGATGCATCTCATTTCTCTTTAGAACTTTCCATATTAGAGCACTTGAAGGGCTTCTTCCAAGTGTTTGGTGATTCTACCCTGGAGTTGGCTGCCTCTTTAGCTGTGGTGAGATGATGTGGTATAATATATAACTCTCTAAAATTGTACTTCAAGCAAAAATATGCATAGGAAGATTTCCATGTGAAAGATGGAACAAGGTGCAATGTACAGTTCTGCATGTGTGGCACATAATGTTTTTGTTATATATATTGGTGACTGAAAAATCATGATCAATGTATATTTTATTTCAGGGGGAGATACAATCCAGTTCATCAGAAGACAGTGAATGCCAAGAAAGGACCAGTAAAAAAGATTATAAAATCAAACCACCTTCCAAAACTCAATCCATAATTCCGGAACTGGATTTCTATTTCTTCCTTCTTTTTTTCCATCTGTACTATTCAACTGGTGAAGTTAATGTTCTATACGTTTTTCAGGAATGAATAGATAAGAAAGAGCTTCCAAACTTCTCTTTAGCTCTTCTTCCAGAAGTTTATTCCTTTGTCTGCATGAATGCATTTTTCTCTAGTAACCCTGAAATATCTAATAGAAATACTTGTGATTTTTAAAATATCTTAGAAAACCTCAAGTTTGGCATCATTATACTCACTTTTTAATTTTTTTTAGTTGTTGATGTACCTTCTATATATATGCAGTGCTAAGAATCAAACTCAGTGCCTTATGCATGCTAGGCAAGTACTCCACCACTGAGCCACAACCTCAGCCCTATACTCACTTTGAATAATATATTCACGAGCTATCCTACAGTAACATTGCTATTATATTTGGTTTCTAGTTGTCTGTTAGCTAAAAATATGAGTTTATAAAAAGATTTTGCTGTTTTAGGCTATGTCATGCTTAGCTTTTAATTCACAGTTTAAACAAAATTTCAAATCAAATGCATGTTAGATTTTGACTGATATATTATGGTGTTATGAGAACAGTCTTCAATCATGAATCAGCTTGTTTATAGTCCCCATTCTGCCACGAAGTAGATGATCTTGGATGGACAAGTCCCTTTATCTCATCTTTAATTTCCTACTCCTCTAAAATGACTAAGGCAATATAATTTTCTAAGGTTTCTTATCATTTCTTGAAAGTAAATATTTAATCATTAGATTCTGCCACTAAACATGTAGTGATTTAAGTCACTTTGTGATATTTATTAATTCATAATAATGGTCTAGTTCTTTGGACCAAAGAGGTAAGTGTAGTTTTCAGCTAATGGTCTCACCTATATCTAGCACTAAACCTAAATTCTATTCAGTATCACCGGTAATGAATACCAAAGGTATTTCTACAACCATCTCTATAGATGTTTATTTTCTTTAAGGAAGAATACACAAATTTCATATAGCCAAATAATTTTTATGTGACTCTAAAATGTAATGCAGAGAAATAAAGTAACTTTCTGTAAGTTGTTCTGCTTTGGAACTTTTTAGAAATATTGTCCCCTGATTTTAAGTAAACTACAGGTATTAGATACTATGACCCTTATTATTACACAAATGCTAGATTTTTATGTCTTTTAGTATGTTTCCTGGCCTTAGTAGAAAATTGATTATTTAAATAATGTAACAAGTATAATTATCAATGAAAAATAAACAAATTTGTTTCTTTTATACACAAGTAAGCCATTTGGTGGCCAAATGGAGGAACATTTGACATGGAGGAACATTCGAAGTTATCTCAAGCACTGGGACAGTATTAGTTAAACATCTTATCATGGGGATTTCTCTCATTCAGATGTTAGTTCTACAGGAGCTGTTTTGGGATACTTTCTGCATGTTAGAAAATGTCTAAAACGAAGTGATGGTATGTTGGTAGGAATAGTACAAAGAAGTTGGAAATGGGGGACTCTAGTCTGTATTATAATACCTGTTTGCCTTTCTAATTTTCTAACTTGAATAAATCACTTTTTATGTTCCCATTTAAAAAGCTGGGAATGTTTACACTCACAACTGCATAGGGATTTCTGTGAAGATAAAAAAGTACCTTCTATTTGTTTATTTCTTCATAACCCTTTTGTCTCTGAGAAGAATATGAGTTAACTTTTACTAAATATAAAGGTGTAAAAACATTCACAACATAAAAGATAAAAATAAAAGGTGAAGCTTTGCAAGAAACCCCATCTAATTGAAGCTTTACCTTTAAGCCTCCTAGCTGCCAGTACAAAGAAGAAAAGAGTTATATGGTTATCATTTTTTACAGAAGTAATATGCAAGTAGAAAAAGGTTTTGTGTAATTAAGTTCTGAAGGTAATTTGTCATGTAAGGGTTTTTAAGAAAATGTGATCTTTATAATAATCAAAGAAAGATAATTGTTTGATATCTTTTATTTTGTTTGATAGTCAAATATGTATTGACATGAATATATCATTTTTTTAATTGGAAAGTTTAGAATTCATAAAAAAACAGTAAAATAGTAGATTAGTAAATCATATTTAATGTATTTCAAAGCTTTAATTTTATATTAAAATATGAGTATAGCAATATTTAATATATTTCAAAATTTAAAATACCTAAATGTATCACAAAATATAATCAATTACCATTTATGAAAAATAAATGTTCAGATCCAAGATGGCGGGTAGAGGACTGCTGCATTCTGTGTCGCTCTGTGACCCTGGGACTCAAGTAGTGGGAATATTGTTTCTCTGCAAGTGATTAGAGGACCCCCAACAGCTGTTCCCATGCAGTAATAATGGCCACTGTGTCACACACTGCAGTGCAAAACTCCCGGCCACTCACCCATGCAGGACCTCTGTCTGAGTGCCCGAGCAGGGCCACCAGCATCAGCACCCATACAGGAATCCCAGCCACAGCTCCCACACAGGACACCCAGCCACTGCCCACATGCAGGAACTCTGGCTGCCCCTCCCTTGTGGACCCCCCATCTACCAATCTTAAACCAAATGGCTGCTATTAAGATGTTTAAGGTTTTGTCACAATACACAGAAATGGTAAGTTATTAGATCTTTGAAAGCGTGAAAGAGGAATCTAAATAGTTGGTTAGTAGCAGGAGAAGAGAGAGAAAGTGGTTTTGGGGATACAAGTAAGTGGGAAGACAATAGACTACAAAAAACAAACAGAAATATTTCCCAAGATGGAGGTTTCCCTGGTCACCTCCATCTTGGGAAATTGCAACCACTGCCATAGTCCACTACATGCAGCAGCCTACACCTGGGGATACTACACAGGGTCTGGAGATAGCTGCCAGACACAACATAGCATGCTACAGAACTGTTATCTCTGAACACATTGCCCCTCACCACCACCTAGCCCCACCAGACTGGACACCCCGTCGCTGAAAGCAGCCACCTTCATCTTGGGACACCTTCACTGCCATCTTTAGTTGGGGCAACCCCCAACTTGGAACACTGGCTGGGGCTTAAAAGCAATATCAAGATAACTTTTGTCCCCAACTCCCCCATCTCCCTGACATTCCCTAACCTGCCACAGTGCTTGCAGCTATGCCATCAGTCTTGTAGCTCAAAAAACCTGGTTCTGAACTGCCCAATACAAAACAGCTCTCCAGGACAGGTACACAGCCCGCAGAGCACAGCCCAAAGACCTCTGGAGAGAAAGGTTCTGATTGGGAAGTAGAAAGGGAGGGGATGAGTGAGATAGTTTAGAGACCAGGAATTGTGAGGTTTACAGGTGATATAAGGAGATAAGACTAGGAGCACACATCATACAAGCAGGCACCAAAGGAGATCCTTGGGGTGCAGTCTCCCATCAGGGACAGGCAAGTGCTATAGCCCACCTCCAGGAGCTACGCTCCCAAGACCAACCCTCCCACCCTAATAACTTTCATCATCCTGAGGGTGGAGTTACCAGCAAACAACAGACAACCCCACCTATTGGACAAGAAGGGTAGCAGGAAAGATACTGATCTCCAGCAAAAACAATCCTTGTATTTTCCTTCAAGATTTTTTTTTTCCTCTCTTCTCTCACCCTCACATCCCTGACATTTTTGAAACCAAGTACTTTTCATGAATTAGGCTACTGAGGACTGGGATGTATGAATACTATACTACAGTTGTGTTATATATTCTTTTATCTCCTATTTTTACATTTTTTATTTTTCTTAATATTTCTGTTTGTTTTTTGTACTCTATTGTATTCCCACTTACTTGTATCCCCAAAACCACTTTCTCTCTTTTCTCCTGCTACTAACCAACTATTTAGATTCCTCTTTCACACTTTCTAAGATCTAATAACTTACCATTTCTGTGTATTGTGACAAAACCTTAAAGTCTTAATAGCAGGTATTTGGTTTAAGGTTGTATATTGTTTGTATTGGGATCTGTTAATATTGTTCTCCCCTTGAAAGGAGAGGTATTAGAATCCAGCAGGGACACTATAAGCCTATAGGGTAAAAACTGTAATGCCTCAGATCCACAGTGCTAGAAGGGAAGACACATTAACAACAACAACAACAACAACAACAAAAAACGAGGGATAAAATTGCCCCAAACAAAGATACTATATTATCAGAATCCATAGCCAGCACAACAGAAGAAATTACTGAGAAGGAGTTCAGAGTGTACATAATTAAAATGTTCTGTGAATTAAAGGAGATATAAGAGAGCAAATACAGGCAGCAAAAGATCATTTCAATAAAGAGCTACATAAGCAAATACAGGAAGCAAAAGATTACTTCAATAAGGAGATAGAGGTTCTGGGGAAAAAAACCCAGAAATCCTTGAAATGAAGGAAACAATAAACCAAATTAAAAACTCAATAGAAAGCACCACCAACAGACAGTGAAGACAAAATATATAATCTTGAAAAGAATATTGGCCACATGGTGAAGAAGGTAAGAAACCATGAGCAGGATATTCAAGAAATATGGAATAACATAAAGAGATCAAATTTAAGAATTATTGGGATAGAGGAAGGTATAGAGTTCAAACCAAAGGAATGAACAATCCAATAATATCAGAAAGTTTTCCAAACATGAAGAATAAATCAAATACAAGAGGCTTACAGGACACCAAATGTATAAAATCACAACAGATCCACACCAAGTTACATTAGAATGAAAATGCCTAGCATACAAAATAAGAGAATTTTAAAAGCCACAGAAGGAAGGATCAGATTACATATAGGGGAAAACCAATTAGGATATCTGCAGATATTTCAACCTAGACTTTGGAATCTAGAAGATCGTGAAACAACATATACCAAGCTCTGATAGAAAATGGATGCTTAACCACTAATCTTACATCCAGCAAAATTAAGCTTTAGATTTGATGATGAAATAAAAACCTTGCATAATAACTAAAAGTCAAAAGAATTTACAATTAAAAAGCCTGCAACTCAGAACATCCTCAGCAAAATATTCCATGAAGAAATGAAAAACAACAATGAAAATCAGCAAAAGCAGTATTACACTACAGGAAATATTTATCAAAGGAGACACCAAATCAAGTTAAATAACAAAAATAAACATGACCAGGAATACAAGTCATGTCTCAATAATAAACCTGAAAGTTAATGTCCTAATCTCACCAATCAAATGACATGGACTGGAAAATTGGAATTTTAAAAAACCCAACAATATGCTGCCTTCAAGACACTTGTCTCATAGGAAAAGACATCCAGGGACTGAAGGTGAAAGATTGGGAAAAAACATACCACTCACATGGACTGCAGAAACAAGCAGGGGTTTCCATCCTTATATCAAACTTCAAGCCAAAGTTAATCAAAAGGGATAAAGATGGACATTTCATACTGCTTAAGGGAACCATAAATCAAGACAACAGTTATAAATATATATGCTTCAAACAATGGAACATCTACATCAAACAAACTCTTAAGTTCAAGAGTCAAATAGACCACAACACAATAATACTGGTTGATTTTAACACACCTCTTTTATCACTGGATAGATCTTCCAAACAAAAGCTAAACAAACTAGAACTCAATAATTCAATCAAAAACTCACACTTAACAGACATATATAGAATATTTCATCCATCAGCAAGTGAATACACTTTCTTAGCAGCACATGGATCCTTTTCTAAAATAGACCATATTTAAGGCCACAAAGCAACTCTTAGCAAATACAAGAAAGTAGAGGTACTACCTTGCATTCTATCAGATCATAATGGAATGAAATTAGAAATCAATGATAAAAAATAGAAGCTACTCCAACACCTTGAAACTAAACAATATGCTATAGAATGAATGGGTTGCAGAAGACATCAAAGATTAAAAACTTCTTAGAGGTAAATGATAACACAGAACATATCAAACTTTGTAGGACACTATTAAGGGAGTACTAAGAGGAAAGTCCATTGCATGGAATTAATTCCTTAAAATAAAAAGTCAACAAATAAATGACCTAACATTACATCTTAAAGCCCTAGAAAAATAAGAACAAATCACATCAAAATCAGTAGAAGACAGGAAATAAAATGAGAGCTGAAATCAATGATTGAAATAAAACAATTGAAAAAATTGACAAAACTAAAGTTGGTTCTTTGAAAAACTAAGTAAAATTGATAAATCCTTAGTCATGCTAACAAAGAGGAGGAGAGAGAAAACTCAAATTACTAATATCCATGATGAAAAAGGAAATATCACGATAGACACTGCAGAAATACAAAAGATAATTTCAAATTATTTTGAAAATTTGTACTCCAATAAAATAAAAAATATTGGAGCCATCAATAAATTTCTAGAGTTGTCTGATTTGCCTAAAGGAAATCAGGATGTTACAAGTTTAATAGATCAATTTCAAGCAATGAAATAGAAGACACCATCAGAAGCCTACCAATCAAGAAAAGCCCAGGACCAGATCGAAACACAGCTGAGTTCTACAAGACCTTCAAAGAAGAACTAATACCAATATTCCTCAAATTATTTCATGAAATAGAACACAAGAAAACACTTCCAAACGCATTCTATGAGTCCAGTATCACCTTGATTCCCAAACTAGACAAGGACACATAAAAGAAAGAAGACTTCAGACCAATATCTCTAATGAACATAGATGTAAAAATTCTCAAAAAAATTCTGGCAAATTGAATACAAAAACATATCAAAAAGATCATGCACAACGATCAAGTGGGGTTCATCCCATGGATACAAGGTTGGTTCAACATACAGAAATCAATAAGTGTAATTCATCATATCAATAGTCTTAAAGATAAGAATCAGATGATCATCTCAATAGATGCAGAAAAAACATTCAACAAAATACAATACCCCTTCATGTTCAAAACACTAGAAAAATTAGGGATAACAGGAACATATCTCAACATCATAAAAGCTATCTATGCTAAGCCCCAGGCCAATATCATTCTAAATGGGGAAAAATTGAAAGCATTCCCTGTAAAAACTGAAACAAGACAGGATTCTCTCTCACCACTTCTATTTTAATATAGTTCTTGAAACTTTAGCCAG